TCATACAGGCTGGTGCTGCTTCACCCGCCACGGGGAGCCGCGAGCAATGAGGGCTGTGCAATCCCCACGGCCTCCCCCTCCCAACGCTGCATCGCCTTTTCGTGCTGCCAGGGTTTCCCCAGCGCTCATCGCTCCCCTAAAGCAGGAAACAAAATAGTGCCTGTGCCTGGCAAGAGGTGGCAGGTGAAATTGCAGGTCCCCTTTGCGGGGACCCATTAAGCAGGAGGCATCGTTTCCAATGGAAAGTGTTAATGCGTGTTATTCCTCAGTAACACACCTAAAGCGACTGTTGCAGCAGGAACTGCTCCCTTTTTGGGGGGGGGAAGGGGGAGCACTCTACAGACACGTTCAGAAAATGTTTTCTAAAACTTCACCCCCAAATATTCCTTGCACAAAGCCTGAGTAAACAGTTTTTTGCATGCTGCCTACGGAGAGCCAGCCCGCTGCAATAGGAGGCAGGTGTCCCTTTTGCCCCCAGTAACGTGCGAAATGGTTGTGGGTGCATGAAACTTACCTGCGCGTAGGGGAAACGCTTCTGGGTGCGTGCTGACCTGCACCAGTGGTGTGGCCTTTTGTGGTCCTGATCGCGCCATGGAATAACTGGGATAGTCTACAAAAAAGTGCTTTCTCGACGCTGTTGGAAGCCAGGGCTTGGTGTAAATCAAGTCAGATTGCTCGGTTACCTCTTCGTGCGCTTTTTCAAGTCTTGACATAAGCGACCTTAGACGCGTTACTCTGTGGTTTCTCCTCCGGTCCGGAGCAGTGCTTTCCCGAGGAGGGAGGTTATGGATTTTTGTGAAGGGCTGCTGATTTTGCACCTGCGCTCAGGGGAGGCAGGATGGTCTAGGTGCAGCTATGTTACACTTATGTGCCAGACTCTGGTTTGAAGGGACTGCCGGGTACTTACATGCCTATATCTTGTCATTTTCTCCTGCAGCTAATTGCATGGGAAGGAAAAAAAAAAAGGAGGGGGGGGAGGCTTTGGGGAAGGCAGGGGTTAATTGTTTCCAGGGCCACGTTTTCCACTGTTTCCTGTAGCTGAGCCCTTCCTGGAGCACAGAGGGGCAGCAGGCACTGCCTGGCCTTCCCCTTGTTCCCATGCTGTTTTGCCACGTTTTTTTGTTCTTGCTAATGTGACAAAGCAGTGCTGCCCTTCTAGGCAATTTCTTTAACGCGTTGCATTATGCTTTTTTTGTAGCTGTATAAGAGCAGAAGAGCTGTTAAACCAAAAGCAAACAAATTTTTTTTTCCTTCGTTTGGAGCAGAGAGAGCTTGAAACCCTCCCTATGCAGAACTTAACACCTGCAGAGTCAATACATTACTTTGATTTTCCTGTTTTCAAAGGTACCAGTTTGTGCATCAGTCGTGCTGTTTCAGTCCTAACCCCCGACTTTTCTTACCTGAGGCAGGATGAACTTGTATGCGATTTTGAATTTTGCTCAGCGCTGTTGCACACGTAGAGAATTTGGGGATCCTCTCCGCGTACGCCCCTAAGCGCTCCCTTAGCAAACTGTTTTTGTGTGCAGATTCATGAATGCAGATGTGGATGCGTATAAAACTGTTTCACAGAAGACAGGGTTGTCTTTCATTATCTAGAGTAATAACATTAGCCTGTGTTTTCAGTTCTGCTGTATGTGTGTCTCACGTGTGTCAGATATTACCACCTGATTCTGGTGATGTAACGTGTATGGGGAAGCCTGCCACCTAGGAAAGCAAGAACAACAGAGTTTGGTCGCCGTATTACCAAAACGTTTTACCTTATTAGAAAGGCCAGAAATGGCTTTAGCTGCCTTCAACTTCTTTTTATGTTTTGTAGCAATGCATTATCGTTCTAATGATTTTCAATCATTATAGGTTTTTGGTCAAGCTACAATGAAAGCATTGAGAAGGAAATCCGTTCTACTTACTGGTTACTTGGAATACCTGATAAAACATTACTACAGTGAGGATAAAACAAACCCAGAGAAGCCCTTTGTTAAAATAATCACCCCACCTCAGCTTGAGCAAAGAGGATGCCAACTCACGCTATTTTTTTCCCTTCCAATCAAATCTGTATTTAAAGAGCTGGAGAAGAGAGGAGTAGCTGTGAGTAAATCAAACTTCATCTTCTTATGTCCTATTTTGAGAACCTATCCTGTACCTGCATAATTATTTTACTCTTCTTCCTGTATATATATATTATAATATATTATATTCCTATATATTTTATTGCTATGTTCTCATATAAGGCCAAGAGAGACTTCAAGTAACTTCAGCAGGTTTCAGTGCGATCTTGCAGAAGATAAACTTCTCACTTATAATAAAAGATAGTTTATTCAGATGATGGAAATGTGATTTCTTTTAGCCTAAACCAAAACTGGATCTTTTTTGCAGATTGAGAAACGTTTAGGTTATTTCGCTGATCACCATGTGCGTACAGCTGTCTTTCAGCATGCAAATATATACCGGCATATCTGGAACCGTTCCGTTTTCTTGGAGTTGAGACTGGCGTCAGCATACTGCAAGGATACCCCTGCCCACCGGGGGAATAGACAGCACCCAAAATCCTGAAAACAAAATCTGTTCTTCTTGGTTCTCAGTCCAGTTTTGTTCACGGAGGGGCTTTAGATAGGATCGTGCTTTTTGTGTACTGAAGTAATGGGATGATGACGAGCGCTCGCATAGCGTCTCCCATGTGAGAACAATCATATGAAGGATATTGGCAGTGTCATTTTGTAAATTATTTCTTAGTCTGTAAAATATTTCTTAGCCTGTAAATTGTCACCTGTGCAACGCCAGGGTCCTGTGGGAAACCCTGCTGTGCCGCAGCGGGGCTGCCTGCCCTCAGCTCCCCACGTGGTCTCGCCGACTGGCTCCTCGGGTCGGCCAGGGGATGCTGAAGGACCTGGTGTTTCCACCTTCCAGATAGGTCAAGGGCGCTTGCTCTAAGTTTGGAGGAATTTGGAGTTAAAAATGGAAGTTTGCACCCTAAACTTCTTTGCGATTGCCCTCTGGCAGTCAGTAATAAGCCGAGCGGAGGCTGCGCTTGCCATCCCGAATGCCAGAACTTGGATACCCACAACCTAATGCTAATACGGAGCTCTGAACACAAATCTGTGCCTTTCACGATCTACAAATGGCCAACGTTTTGTTCTTTGCAAGGTGCCGAGGTGGACAAATTAAAAAGCTATCATTTTCTTAGAGATGTGTGTTAGCACTCAGGAAAAGAGGCTGCTGAAACATAATGATACGTAATGGTGTGGTTACCAGTGAGCGCTACTCGGAAAGAATAAAAGCTGAATTTAAGGCTATACATTTGGTGATTTAGAAGTGCTGGGAGGTTAGGCTGATAGCGTAATGCCGTACAAATGATATATGAGTTTTATTTCTGCTGGTGACTTGTGTTCCCAAAGGGCAGCTCTTATAGGCTAAATATGCCTATGTTTTGGGGCTGCCAGGGAATTCCAGGAACTGCTGCTTTTAAGAGGGCATAGGGCCTCCTGCTGTTGGCTTGTCTTTGCGATGCAGTAGTATGTTTTACATTTGAGATTATTACGTTCAGCAAAATGTGTAAATTTGCAGAAGGAAAAAAAATTACTGCAAGTCCTCTGAGGTTACGTGTACCTTGAGTACAAGAGACTATGATACTGGTGTGCTTCTATTGTTGCTTTTTTGTCACCTGTGAGGCTCTAACTACAGGTTGCTCTAGGTGCTAAAGGTATAAATTCAGCATAGTTTACAGGATTGCGGAGCCTGGATAACGCTCCTGAAGAGAGTTTCTTAGGGGTGCCGCAGTTTTAGACACGTGTCTGCATAAATATTCTTCCCCCTCTGTCTAGTCGGTTGTTCTTCCTTGGTGTAATTCCACTAAGACAAGGTTGGCACACATTTAAGAAAAAAAAAAAGACAAAGAAGTGACCTTAATTTACAAAGCACTCTCTTTCTGTTTTACAGTGTGACATGCGAGAACCACACGCGCTTCGTGTTGCCCCAGTTCCTCTCTACAATTCTTTCCGTGATGTGCACAGATTTATTGAAATCCTGGGATCTGCAATTACTGCTTCAAAACAAACAGCAAACAATACTGCGCTATCTGGTTCTTATTGATGGCTCCGCTGTATCTTTTAATCTATTTTTGACTAAGATGCATTTATCCCACTGAGCGAGTCTTTGCTTCTAGTAGGCTAAGCTATATCCCATGCAATTTGCAAAAAAATGACTGTGCTTGAATAGTTATTTACAACAGACATAGTTTTATTAAAGCGCATATTTCTGCCCTGCTTTGACTTTGACTTTGTGAATTAATATGCTTTGTATATTTTAATGGGGCTTTTCTTAAACATTTTATGTAGTTTTATTACATTAGCTTTGAGAAGCATGGAAGAATTCCTATCAGCGATAACGGGAATGAAAAAAATCCCTGCTTTATTAGAAAAATGATGCATAACAAAAAACGGAGAATAGACAAATCTCTAACTTAGTTTAAAAATGCAGTCCAATTTACATTTTCAATTTATCAGTTCTATTTAAAGTAAGTACATGGTATACTTGAAAAGTAAAAGTTGAACAATTAGTTGTTGAAACACTGTTAACTGCTGCGTACTGAATCTTTCAAATACCCCAGTGTTTTGAAATGCTAGATTAATTACTGTCTAATTGATGACTGCATTTGCATTGCGGATACCTTCTTCAGTAGGTAAGTGTGATACAGTTTGCTAAAGCAAGAAGTTTTATATTTATTATTTCTTTTTATGTTTCTAGGTAGTGATCTAAAAGATGATATGCTTGAGAAAGCTGAGAGTGATTTTAAGCCAGGTCACGTAAACCAGTGTTAAGGGCTATATGAGCACTTACTGCGATTTTAACAAGGCTTATTTCAGATTAGCTGCAATGAAATATGACTTGTTTAAGCTATAGCAAAATATCTTATTGTTCACCTATAGTATGGCCCAACAGGGATTTGCATCAGACAGCCAAGTGCAATGAAGAAAAACTATATACATTTAAACAATACTTTAATCACACTTGTTTTATCATATTAATAACACCTTGGTGTAAACTGAGCTCCTAAGTTCGTGTGTATTCAGGCTGTACCACTTTTTCAAGAATCAACTCATCTGTAAGATTTTTCCCTCCCAAAATACTCAGTGCCTCTGATTTTTTGGTACAAAATACTTAGGAGGGAGGTAACTTTTTGCAGGATTTTTATTGCAGTTGTAGGGTGTGAGGGGGTTTGGAGGGAGGCCTGAGGACTGCTCCAAACCTCTTCGGTCCAAGGGCTTCTGTGTTGGTTGAGATTTTTGCACATTTTAAGTGCCCCCCTGACTCCAGGCAGCTCCCGCACATGCATCCCGGCCCGGCCAGGTCAATGCTGGCCCACGGGGTACCCGCAGCCGAAGACCCAAGGGCCTTGGCAATGCCAGTCTCCACCAGGAAAGTCCCCCAGAAAGGGTAGCTTTAAAATCCCTCTTGCAGTAATACTTATTTCATTGGTCGTAATGGGTAGTGGAAAACTGAAAGAACTGCGAATACAGCGTTTGTCGGTTTTTTTGGCACCTGTGAAAAGTAAGAACAGCCACTTAAACTGGAATATCATGATAAGGAACAATACAGACTTCTTAATCCGTTAGAAAGCTCAGGCTTGCTCAAGAGGTTTTGATTACACTGACGTCATCTCTCTTTAATTTAACTGAAACTGTATCATTGTACCGCAGACCAGGTAGCTATATTTCAGTGGCTGCAGTTTTATTTTTATACTTGTGTCTGACGTGCTGCCGCTTTCATCTGTCAAGTGACATGAACTTACAAAAAGGACTTTTTTACATAGCGCGACTGTTCATCAGAAAAGCACCGAATATAAAGCCGTGCTAGTCCACCGTGGTGCAAAGGGGTTTAAATTCTTTGCTAGTACCTTTGAAGCAATCATGCTGCTGCGTAGCAATGACGCTTATGTCTTCTGTAGAAAATGAGGCAAGCTTAACATAAATGCAGACATGACACTAAGTCATGCTATCAAATGCCTTATTTTGATTTCAGCTTGCCTCTGGTTGTGAGGTAGACCCAGGAAGAATGTGCTTCTCAATAGCATTTGGACGTGAAGTAAATAGTTTGGAAGGTACGAGGCAAATTATGTTTGACTAATTTTGAGGACTCGATCCAGCGCAGCAGTTTGGCATCTGCGTTAAAGTCACTAGCTGTAAAAACAATTCCTTGTAGGCTTTAAGTTATGGCATGTGAGCCAGATAGATCCAGGAAGTGTTTTACCTACCCTGTAAGATCCTGTTTTTGAGAGATAGCAGTTTATTAATAAAAGGTCACTAGTATTTTGTCTTTTTTGTAACACCTGAGCCTTAGTACGAATATTGATTCTATAGATAGGCATTTGTGTTATGTGATGGGTTTGTCAAAGTTCAGAGAGTCAAGATTCACTTATTTCAACTTTTCTGAACCCTTTCTCTTTTCCCTATGACCTATGAAGACACACATAAGACTTCTTGCTGTCCTGGACATGTATATGCTCTTAGAAAATTAAGACATTTAGAAAATGGGGCAAGGCTGTATTGTATTTTACTAAAATATTACAGCATAAGCACTTGTTTTACGTGTTCTTTCTTTACTTGTACGAAGTTTTGCGAAATGAATAATACTGAAAGTTAACATTAGGTGTCAGTATTTTACATATTATTTAGTGAGAGACTATCAAGTGAAAGAGCCTCTGTGCAAAAAAAAGAGGAATATTACAAGCTACAGTTTCAAATGCTCTAAGTTATCACAGTTAGCGTAATATCAGGAATAATTATGTGTGAAATAATTAATTGTATATAGCCCAAATACTTCTCGCTGGTGAGATCTCTGATTTAAAATTCAGTATTAAGTACCTCTGGTTTCTAATTGTGCTGAGATTTAATTCTAGAATTGTCTGAAGAAATTACATTTTTCAAATTAAACTGCAAGACATGAGGGTCTGTAGATGGCAGGAAATGATATGCAGGTAGAGTGAAAAAACGTCTATAAGATGAAAAAATAAAAGATAAATGAGAACGTGTAGATCCCTGGTTCTATGTGATTTGCCTTAGCACAACACAGCTAATACTGTACAAATCTCTTAAACTCCCTGTAACTGTTGAAAACTTTAAGGGAAAACATTTTAGGATCCGTTTGTGCAATTTTTCCCATGTTTTGTCCTGGGAAGGCTAGAGAGAAGGCAAAGTCCTCTTCCATAACTACAAAAGGAGCATTTGATGCTGCTCTTTCCTGAAAGAGCAATATATTCTAACTGAAGATAAAGGATTGAGGTTGGTTACATGAGCGCAACCGAAGAGGACATGACCCGTTTCAAGAGATTAAGATGCAAAATGTTGAGAGTCCTTGGTCTAACTGCAGCAGAACTCATCTTCCTTTCATTTTACTGAGTACTATGGGTTGGTAGATTAAGGAAGAAAGATGAGAAGAGAAAGGAGGAAAACAATACTAATCTAGCCAAGCAAACGTTAAGTGCAAGAAAAGAAAGAATGGGAGGCAATGAAACAAAATACTTAATGCTTTAAACTTGGTTATGTTGTAGAGTGGTTATGTTCCTAAATGCAACATTAGGCAGGTGGGAATTTTCCGTGAAATTCTAATGAAGATCTATCCCTACCCTCACAGCTAGAGATATATGTGTTTATAAAGATAGTGATAACCATCCAGTGCAAAATTCATAGAGATCTCACAGGAGGTGTACATCCCTCTCCCAGCCCAGGAAAGAGCAGCCCCAGCAAACTGGACGGAAATGCTGGGACGAAAGGCTTTCACGAGCCCCAGGAGGGGCTGGGAAACGTGGTCCTCGCTCCATCTGCCCTGCGCTAAGGGTTTAAAAATGCCTTTCGGAAAGCAGCCCAAATCATGGTGTTTCATGGCGTTCTGTGCAGCCCGTTGAAGGTGACCCAGTTTATATAAGATATCTCTGTATTTGGTGAGAGCGTGCAGCATGTTATTACACATATTCCCGTACAAAACCCACTTTCGGTTCCAGATTCAATTGACATGTCGTGATCTGATTTCTTTCAGAGGGAGTTGACCTGCTCAGTGACTCTTAAAAATTTCCATAGGTACCTATCTCAATCTCTGGGCACCTAAGCCTTTGAAAATAGGTTCTGGAAAGCTAGTCACTCTTGCCAACCAGCTGAGGGACCCTTTTCCACCCTAAGCTTAAAATTTTGTCAATATTTGTGAAATATATTTAGAAACTTATATGGTAATGAATAAGTTACAGATCAGTAATTCATACTTTTCATGCTTCAAGTTTTTATTACCTAAACTTACTCTTCTAAGCATCACTTTACATTTCTTGTTAAATATAAATCAGAATTGATTGGGTTATTTCTCAATGGAATTATATCTTTATTTCATCATAATTGCTTCATATTTGAATAATGACAGATGAACTACTTCATTCAATTGCAGTTTTAAGGCTTTGAAGTCACAATAGCAGCAAAGGATTTAAATCCTGAAGCCATTATTATGGCAAGGAAGACATCAGGGAAAAGGAAAACTTACGGTGGTGTAATTTTCTAGACAGAAAAATATTTCTGTGGTTGAACTTTTTTTTCTCCTGGATATTTCGCTACCCTTCAGAGGATCAACTAAACTTCAACAAAATGAAGTAGCTGCAACTTCTAGCAGAGCAAATGGCTTCTATCCACCCCAGAAGACGACGTTATAAATGTTGAATGAGAGTCCATAGTGTGAGTATATTCCTACAGTTATTTTGCTTTGGATGCTGGCTACAAACCATTTAGCATTCTACACAGCTGCAATACTGTATTTTGCCAATAAAGAGTTCATTAGATCTTTTTTCTCTCTGACATTTACAGCTAGTCCTGAGTACATGTTAATACTCCAAGGTATGAATTTCAAAGTTCCCTTTATCTTTGTGTATAGTTTTAAGCAATTAATCACATGATATAAAATAGCTTTAAAAGTAAGAAACGAATTGTGAATTTAAAGTGTATGTTCAAAAAGTTGCTACTTTATAATTTGTAGGGGACAACTGAGCTGGGTGTAGTTTTTTTTTTTTTTTAACTTACATTTTATTGAAAGTTTCTGAAGAGATTGTCAAATTGTTAAAACATGACCAAATCACGCATGCAGGATAGTTCTTTCTCCTAGGAGGCCACATCAAAGTGGAAGAGACATAGAAAAATCATTATTTAATAAGTTCAAAATGACTCCCATGTGGGGTAAGATTTATATAGGCTTTTTAAATAAGCATAGGACCAACCAACACTGGAAACCCTTCATTTGAAATAAAAGCAAATGTCATTCTTATCATCACAGCGCCAGGTGTGAATATGAAGATATATATGAAAACTTTTCCGGGTATTTATTAGTAACAAAGCATATCTGGAATGAAAGAAAGCATATGAGCACTACAGATATCACAGAAATGTGAAAGGATTTATCCCTTGGTATGCCCTAGCCCAGTGAAGCTCAGGCTGCGCAGATATACTTACAGATTTCTGCATATCTCATGGGTTCACCAATCGTGCCGTTGAGTACGGTCCCAGCTATTGCAGAAACTTTCTGTAGTGGGAGAGGTATTACCTTACATCTGTGGTAATAGGCTAAGGATCGAGGCTCCTGGGTCTAACTTTCAATTCTGCTACTTTGCATGTTTTTCTGGTGCTTCAGTATACCTGGCAGGAGGGATCATGATGGGGATATGTTTATTGAGGCTAACTGGCAGCTGACGTCTGCAAAGTCTACGCTGATACTTGACACAAGATACTAATAACTGGAAACTATTAAAATGGTGTTAATGAATCTCAAGGAAAACGTTTCTGTAATGCATTGTCTATTTTGTTAGGGAGGTGTGTCAGGTATACAGTGGAACTGTGTTTCTTTTTATTGAGTGTTTTATTTAAATTTCTGTTTGGGAGGTGAAAAGTACTGTGTATTTTCCGAAATGCTCACCTCAGGACAGAGAAGTAGTTTTAATTACCTCACTGAAAGTTTATGCAAAATGTTCGGATTCTTTTGTGTGCAATATCTAACTTAAACCAAAGTCATCAAACGTGTCAACAGATCCTACCTTTTCGATTTCTTAGATAAAGCAACCCCTTGGCACAAAGTAACTTAAAAGGAAATATCCATGCTTTTGCAAGGATACTCTTAGACTTCCCTATATTGCTGCTTCTTACACAGAAAAAAGGAGTGAGGGCATCTGAAGAGAAATTAACTGTGAAAGTCCTGATCGTCCCACAGCTCCATTTTCTTAATTGATTCTGAGTCTCTGTATGACTGAGACTGGAAAAATGGTTTTGATGCAAGAGCTATGAAATGTAAAAGCTATGAATGCAAGGCTTTTTGGTATGCATGGAGAAAGAGAAAGGAGAACTGCAGCTTAAGAAACGAAAGTCCTCTGTGAACTGATTTGTCAGGTGTGATTACAGTAACCATAGTGCTTTTCTTCCAACCTCTGCCCACAGGAGATGCCATTCATGTTAAATAGTATAATATTAAAACAACGCTCTGCATGTTCTTTACTATCCTTTAGGATCCAAAAATGCAAATGAGCTTTTCTGTGCTTCTTAACGAGTTTGAGTTGCAGAAGGATAAAGGGTAAATATGATGATTAATAACATGCATACCTACTTTTAATAACATACATTTCTTTACAAAAGAATATCATCTTGGAAAGAGATTTCACGTTTTGGAGCTGGGATTTGAAGAGTGACCATTCACGATCCAGTAACAAAAGAGTGCTTAGGTCTCTAGAGCAGCCTCGTCAAAGTAAGTATGCTGAAAACATTCCTAGCACACACCAATGGGATAAAACCCAGCAGCGAGTGCAGCAATGGTAGTTATTCTAGTCAAAAAGTGCATGGTGAAGCCATTAGCCTTACTCGCTGGTACCCAGGGAAGGGGGTGCCTGGATATTAGACCTGTCCTAGCCTAAGGGAAGAAAGTCCATGTTTTCTCCGTCTTTATTAAAAAAACACTGTAACCAAGAGCTTCAAGCATCTAGAGGTAAGGTGGGGAGGATGGACACCAGTGAGCCCAGTAGGAACTGGCAAAAAGGAACTAAGCGCTATTGCCAAGCTGTTAGGTAACTTCCAGGGTGCAACCACCCGGAGCTGTGTGTTAACAAACACGAATCCTGTTCAATTACATAAGTGTGCAACAAGAAGTCTATGTTAGGACCAGAGTGGACAGAGGCAGTGCAGTCCTGTTTCAACCATAATTGTCAGAGAATAACAAGAGTTTAGACATATTTTCCACTGGTAAAGTCAAGGCAGTAGTTACCCTGCTCAGTGCAGGAGGTGGCAGATAATCTTACCGAAACCCAGTTATCTCCATTGTTGACTGTGCAATCTGCCTTCAGGGCTTTTCACTGAATAGGGAACCTTGGGGCGTAACCTGATTTCTATGGTTCACCATCTTGGTGTCAGGTATTTCAATTTTACTGATCATGAAGTCATGTTTAAAGTGTATTTCTAGACCTCAGACTTTCCAAATTCTTATTGTTGATTATGCTTTCTACTCTTCTAGACCATATCCCGTTTAAGATACGGCTGTGCAACAGTGGCTTAGTGGCATTCACCACATATAGTGATATGTATTAAGAAACACCGCAACCTGACTCTTAGGTTCATGTGAAAATCCTTTTCGTTATCATTATTTATGACTTCTAGAGTCTGAACATAGTTCAGTGGCAAAATAAGTTAATGGATGCTCCTTCTAGCATCTAATTTTTATCTGTTTTTAAATGAGCTTGCCTTATTCAAGGTAAATTCCTTGCAGACCAAAGTATGAGCGATAAAAACAGTGAATTCTGGAAGGAAATAGCTATTAACTTCTCAAATATAATAATAGTTCAAAGATTACTGCCCTATATCAGATATGGAGGAAGGATAGTCCTTGGATCTACCTAATTTATGGGCCAAATTTTAGAAGAGCCTAAATGCTGTGGAAGCATGGACCTAGAATATGACTATTTCATTTTCATTGGTTTTCTTTTTCTCTTTTTAACTTTCTTATTTCAACTGTGAATTAAAACTGAAGTGGTAAAATACCAAAAAAAAAAAAAAAAAAGTATGAATCACCAAAATCACATGCTGATGTCTGTTATCTTGACATTTTTCTGAATGAATATTGAAATGCCTAGCAAACCAGATCTTGAAGTTCCTCCATCAGTAATCAGACCTAGACTTTACTTGAAAAAAAAAATCTAGATTTAGTTATGGAAAGCATGCTCTTAATTATAATTATGTTCATTAAAACAAATGCCTTAAAAGATTAATACTTTCAGTTCAAAGACTTTTCAAAACACATCTGAAAAAACACAATCTACAATAAATCTATCCTGGAAAAATATTGGTGAGAAATTCACTGAAAAATATACTAACTGATTGCATATGGTATATATGTTCATCTGTATGTGTTTGTGTACATGTGTTTCTTTTCAGAGACTTGCAAGATTTGGTGCTGTCTTCTTTTTTTCGTATTTATAGAATGTATAAAAAGTCATTTAATTTGATGAAATCAAACATTCAATGAAAGCAAAAGCACTAGCTCTGAAATAAGACATCATTTTTGCAGGGCTATACATCCTTTGAACTTAGATGACATTGTCTCTGAGGACAAGATGTTTGATGAGTTTTATACTTTAAAGCCTCTGGTAGGAAAAATTAGTCCGGAATCTGTTCCTGCAGGATGGAAAAAAATCACTCAGTCTTCAAAAGATCAGGAAAAAAATGATGTCATTTTATATTTCCCTTAAGTATCTTTCATTCAGATGCTTATATTGGAAAAGGCTCAACAGCCATGAATTTAGGGGCTTATACTCCCTGTGATCCATAGGGCATTTATGTGCCTGCTGCCCAGAATATTGAGGAGAGAAAGAAACCCTTAGAATACAAAGATAAAAGGATCTATGGATAAGATAATCTTAAGAAACACTGCTGACTAATGTTTATCTATTAATTTAATATAATAAACATAATGATACGTTTAAAATTGCGTTACCCCTGCTATACGCCAAATCTGTTTGGAGCAGCCGCTTTGCATTCAGTATATCATAATGACATAGACTGCATAGTTTTGAAGTTGAAATTCTTTTGTGTTGTGGTCCTGTTGTAGACATGCACGCTGGTGCCCAACATTAAGTGCACGAATAGCCGTGCATACTGAAGCAAAGCATGGGGTCCGACTCCTCAAAAGGTAGCGCAGAGCCCTGAGGAGGGACCTCTCTGAGGTGGGGTTGGTCTGAGCAGGGTCACAGACCAGTCTGGGTAGAAGGGCCTGTGTGGGCCATGTTGGAGGATGAGCTGGTTTTGGAGAACCAGTACCAGGGAAAGGAGGAATGTGAGGACGTAAACCAGGCTCAAAAAAAATATATGGAGAACATGTTTCCCAACAGGCCTAAGGCTCGGTGCTCTTTTGCTCAGAAGAACCGGAAGAGTCACAAGACCTGAAAGCGTGGAAGGTGAACGGGAAACGCCAGTGGGGAGCTGGACTCCAGGAGCTGTAATGAAGCTTTCACAGATGCATGCGGATTGCAGCAGGGACATCACTACACTGGCACTCTTGCCTGCGTGCAGAACTGAGGAGTCGGCACTGGTAACCACAGTGTCATAGCTAACTACCATGTTACACTCTCTCTCCATCTTTCCAGAGCCAAAAATACTTGCTCCTAAAAATTGCTTAACCCTAAAAAACCAAAAAAAACCCTAAACTGCTAATGATACATTTTGTGCCATAGTAGAGGGTGCCTGGAATGACAGAAATAATGGGTCTGGATGAATCCTTTTCACAGTGCAGAAGGTGTAAGAACAGCTGATAAGAAATCAGCATTGCAATATTTCTGTCAGTCCCCCCACAACACCAGGCAAGAGTGGAGATGTAAAAGGTCACGCCATCTACCGCCTTTGTGTAAAAGTGATCTTTCTACAATAATCTCAGTAGGCTACCTATAGGTTCAGAATATGACAACACTGTGTAGCTGTTTTATGATGCCCAAGGTTAAGTTTGACAGAAACAGAACACAAAAGGGGCTCGTTAAAGCAAGGTTATCAGCACAAACTAGCAGAGTGAGGAGGACAGAGTGGTCTTGGGAAACAAGGGAAGAGGAAGTGTATGTATTCAGAAGCCACAAACACTGGAGGTAAGGAGGAACTGAAAAACTGGAACAATCTTAAAAACTGTAAAGTGAAGGCTGTCAGTTTTCTGTTTTGCTGCTTGAAGCAAGTATCCTTGAAGCTTAAATGCTGGAGTGGTCTGAGTAAAGACCTGCTTCTTATTTTCTGTAGGTGGCTGCTGTGAAAAGGAGTTTCCAGAAAGTGTAAGTAATCAGCATCCCTAGTTAAGCCCCAACCTGGAGCTATTAAATAGTTATACTGTTGGTGCATTACTTTTTTTTCAAATCTGGGTAACTCTGTTTCCAATAATCTGTATGATTTTGTATGACGCCTCCCAAGTTACATGGGCATGTCCAACAGTAATTGTTGGGGGAAGGGAGCAGAGGGAAAGGCCAGTGGAGCACAGTGGTGTACAAAGCAAGTATCTGTGCATCGCACATCCAAGTAAAATCACAGGATGTGATTGGGGCTGAGGCACTCAATTATTTAATTTAGCTTCCTTCTTCCACCTTCAAAACTTTGATAAACCAATTTTTTTCTCCCTCCCCAGTCCGCGTCAGGCCTTACAGCCTCTCCTGAAAGCTTCTGGACATGAGAGAAAATAATCATTTATCTGCAGAGGAGTTTTACTTCCTGCTTCTGACTTTGTTTGTTTTGATTGACTTTTCGTCTTTTGGCACAACTGTCCAGGCAGTTCTGTCTTGCTCTGTGAAGTGGTAGTGTGGGAGGGAGAACAACAAGTGTCTACAGCCCAGACGTGAGCTTTGTTAGGAAGAGCCAGGCAAGGACTTCAGAAGTTACCATTTCCCCTAGATGTGATGGGAGCTGTGTTATTTTCATGACTGTCTTGCGATGCTGTATAATTACATTTCTCTTTTTGCGGATGTACCTGTGGAATTTGATACTGTTGAAATAAGCCTCTTCTTCCTCGAAGGCTAAAGCAATAGAAGGGGATATCCGTGAATATCTCAGAGCATTCTCCTCTGCATGCTCAGCACAGGACTTTACACAGCTTGGGACTCTTTCTGCCTGTTATTCATCGTGTAGCTGAAGCTTTTATAGTAGAGGTAGGAACAACACTGGTTGGCATATCAGTTTTAAGCTAAGGGCAGCCACTTCAGATTTCCTTTACCGTGAAAACACTGACAGTTTTTGAAACATCTCCAGTCAACAAGTTATTGGCGCAGAGAGTTTGGGTCAGACCTGAACCCAGTGCTAATGCTTCAGAGAAGAGGAAGGCTTGGAGGAGGTTTCTATAAGCACCGGTTTGTAGTTCTGCCTTGAGCGTGGCTCCACAGATTAAGATATTGTCACACAACATGCATGACACACATTTGTCTTTTTAAGGTCCGCTATTGTGTGATGTAAAATTACCTTTTTGGCAGTTCAGTGTTCTAGCACTTTTAGCACTCGGAGGCCTAACACTCCAGAAAATGCATTTACACTGCATTTAAAGCTTTCATGTTACTAAATCCTGTCAAGGAAAGTCTTTAAATAATGCATTAACATATGCTTGTGTTTTGTCTCTTTTTTTAGTATGGTATTACTACACAATGGGTTGGACTTATTGTTGATGGCTTTTCTAAGATATTAAAGATACCACTAGGCAAGGCTGACTTTTAAAATAAGTGACAGGAACCCCATAACACCTGGGAAAGAGAGAGTAAAGGAAGAGACAGCTTGCATTTATGTAAAGCTTTCCTATCTAGTAGTTTTCCTTAACCTCAATATCCAGAAAAAAAAAGAGAAAAATTAAATTGGATGGGTGTGGACAATAGTGAGTTCAAAAATAAATATTATTTTCTTAATTGTGAATACTTCTAAATCTAAACCTCATGAGAAGGCAAAACAATCTTTATTAGGAGGCAAATTCTCATAGAATTCCTTTCTAAACATCTATGCTGTTTGGGGAAGTATATCTGTAATCAAAACTTTAGCAGGTCAGCTATTAATCAAACACTAATTTGAACGTTCTGGGTTTTAGACCTCAAGTCGCAGCACAAATGCACCTTCCGTACAGCTACCACTAAATTGCTGGAGAAGCTCATGGGACCTATTTTCTACCACCTGTGACAATTCTTAAAAGTATGTTTTGCATTTTTAGATTGTAGTAAGCAAAATAGATTGTTTAGCTGGATAATGGAGTGTTCATAATGCATATTATGGCTGAGAAAGCTATGTGAATTCAACCATTATTGTACATTTATGTGGACATTTGCACAAAAGTTTCTACATAACAAATATTTATTGCCCAAACAGATAATATTGGAGGCTGCAGTTTTCTTGGCCTATAAGCTAGTGTTGTTGCCTTCTCAATATATGAGAATGTGCTCCTATAAATGCTTTTCCTGGGATTAAGTGTTCAGAGCCCTTAAAGCAACAATGATGGCTACTGAACGAACATGAGCCCTCTGAACAAACAAGAATATAATTTACTGCCCATACAGATATGATTCTTTATTCTCCCTTCTTAATTTAAATATTTTAAACCCACTACAAATAAAAATAAAGAATATCAGCTTTTTAATGAAGAATATGGGAAATAATCATTATTTCTTCATTATCACAAAGTCTACCAGCTTCTTAGGCTTTTCCCAATGAATTACGGCATTAAAGTTTTGCAACTTTAACCATTTCCATTAATAAAAATTTGTTTTTGTCTGGAAGCAGCGACTGGATGCACAGTTGTTCTTCCAGGCTTGTGCTTGCCCGCTCTCCAGGTTGGTGGTGTCTCTTATGGCTTGACCTATCCACTGAATTAGTTTTGCTATTAGTGGAATGGTGCCTGCTATACAAGCCAGACTTGGCTGCCCGTCAGTCTCAATAGAGAGTAATGACTAAATGAAGCAGAAAGGAAGGTTAGGTTTTCATTTCACCCTAGGAGACCACCAGTCCAGAGCAAGTCTTGGATGCAGGAACCTCAAGAAATATATGACACTACTTAAATTCATTAGATTTCAGTTGGTAATAGCTGCTGGGCGTTCAGCATCCTCCAGTAATCTGTATGCTTCAAAAGTGTATTTTTTAAAACAGTGGTTTTAGCCTCAATGCTCTGTGCTCTCAGTTATGAGATGAGTAATTTCAGATGTTCACTAGCTTGATTGAACTTCTCGTAGGCAACAACTCTATGAGGCCCTGAAATAGGGACAAGAAATCTGGGCTTCAGGTTTAAGAGGTCGTGGCAGCAAAACCCAGCAATGATAATGTTTCTTTAACTTGCGTAGTAAACCTGCAAAGACAAATGTCTTCAGCAGCAATCTGCTCCAGGTAGTGCCTGTGTAGTTGCTGTTTCCTGCATTTTTTCTGAGATTAAATGAGCTCTTAGATTTTTGCTAAACTCATTTTTGCACATCTAAAGTATTTTCAGCCTTCCAGAGATCACACAGGAAGCTGGTGCTGCATAAGTTTGAGTCTGTAGTATGCAAAACTGCCATCTTTTTATAGAATTTTGTCACTACTGACATACTGTCAAATGGATGCTAAGGAAATCAGATGAAGTATGCGACTTGACTTGAAATGTTAGGTGTGTAGTGAAAGGCGTTTTCACAAAAAATGTCACATCCCTGGTAAGCTGGGTTTTGGATGGGGTATCATAGAGAAGTGCTGCTGTGGTATTTTACAGGTTTTCTGATAGTCACTTTGCATTTTAGTGACAAGATTCTATTGTCCAATAATGCCACCCTGCCCATAATTATTTACTATTTAAAATGGTATAAATGGCTTCTACTGGTTTTAAGAAAACTCTTGAAATCTGTGCAGCTACAATAGATTTTTTTTTTGAATTAGTAGTTCTCTAAACTTGTTCGTATGATAAAATTTCTAGAAATATACATTGTTTTTAGAAGAACTAGCAATCAGTTAGCACTGCTGCAGTTTCCTTAAGCCTGAGCATTGGTTAGCTTGTGGAAAAAGCATCACGTTGCTTTTGCTTTCTGGTCTCTTCACATCTGGGAGAAACACCTCACCAACACCCACACACGACATCCATGTTGCTGTGCTGAAAGTCCATCCTCAGAAAACATCCTGAAAATGCAATGGCTACAAAAATTGATCCTTTGGTTTAGAACCGTGAGTGCTAACGCATGCTGTTCAACATTATCTCCTATCTATATCCATGTGTTATCCATGCATATATCCTGGGCAATATGCTCTAGGTGACCCTGCTTGAGCAGGGAGGTTGTACTAGATGATCTCCAGAGGTCCCTTCCAGCCTAAACGATTCTGTGATTCTGTGTGATTCTCTTATGAAGTGAGCTTTTGGGAACGAGGTAGTATAAGATCCTGCTAAAATCGGAATCCCGGAGAAGTTTGCCCCAGTTGGGGTTTCCAGCAGGATCCAACTTTAGGAGTCCCAATGAACTATTTCCCAGATATCTGCACAGCATTTTGGGGTGAGCAGTGCCAAACGCTTGCACAAAGGAGCAAGAATTCTACCATTTCACTGTGCTGTTGGGACAAATCCTTAAACTGAAGGGTGGACAGTATTTTTTCAGGTCATTGGACAGGTCTTCATTTTGTCATGGGAGATGAACAAAAACATCCTCCTATTCTACCAGAGCATCAACAGAGGGCTCTGCAGCCTGACCAGTGCCGCAGTGCGCGCCGCCGCCCTCGTACGGTGCAACCACCGTACCCTGGGAGGGAACCCCTGCCGTGCCACGCCACGCGCTCGCTTCGCAACTCGGGCTAGAAATACCGGAAAGAGACTGTCATTCCTTGCTGAAAAACAGCAGCGGGGGAAACCATCGAGGAAAGTGTATGGGAAGAAGGGGCTTTTCTGGAGCCCAGAAGACGCACAGCTGTACAATGTCGCTATCCGCATGCGACGAGTTTTTGGGTTCCTCCCGCCTGAGAGGGAACATAAAGGCACACGTCACTGCGGGAAGTAAAGCTTAGCAGCAGCTGTGTGCGTGTGTGGCGCTCTTGGAGCGGCTTCAAGAAGTGTTAAAACAGAAAAATCAAAGCAACAGAAGTGTTTAACTAGGAGAACTTCACCAGGCAAAAGTTCAAGCAATTTTTTTTTTTAGTAGTAAACTTTCTGATTGTCTGGAATTTGCTATTTTATATACCTAGAATAACAGTATGGTAAGTGTCATGTTTACTAAAGCTATCTTTCACAAGAGCAAAGCAGACTTTCTTGCAAGCTATTTATCTTAGTGCTCAAAACATTTTATCGAAGGTAAGAAAAGAGAAGTTGTCTTGAGGCTTAGAATCGTAATTCCTTTCAGCATTTCCTTTTAAAGCTCATGTTCACCTTCTGCAAAAATTAACCCTCCCTATTTGTTGCAATTTTAACAGAGAAGTTCTCGTACTTCAGAGTTTGTCTCTCTGTCCAGAACGGAAGACTTTTACCGTAGACTTGGGCGTAAACCAATCACTGGTGAGATGGTTAACTCCTGCTCTTGCAGGAAGTGGTTTTATTTTTTCTCTTCTTTTCCTTCTTTTTTTGTGTCTTTATGTGCTGCTGGAGATTGACCTAAATGCTGTCTTTTGACACGTGACCTAGATGTTTTCCGTTTTTTGAAATAGTTAATCTGTAGCTGGTTGATGACAGTTTGAGATGGGAAGACGACCTCTGTGAGCTTGTAGGTAAGGAATCTTCAACTCATCTTAGTGCAGCTCCTGAAAGCTGTTTCTAAAGATTTTTGAAATAAGTATTATTGCTTATGTTTTGTAGGCGTTCAATACAGATTATGGTACTTAGGCAGCTATTTTATTTTTACTGTCATTTGTTAATTTGAAAACAATGAGTGATGCTGTAGAGGGTACAAATGTGAGCTGATGCTTTGAAGGCAAAATTAGTACTCAGAATCTAGCAAAACTGTCACCTCTTGTATACAGGGCAACTATACCTGATCCTTCCAGTATCCTAAGCCATTGTGAGCGATGTCTCATATCTCTGCCTGGGTTAACTACTAATCCAAAAAAGGAGGAAAAAGAACCAAGCTGTGGCTCTTTGCACAGGAAAGGAGACTAAAATCACGTTTCCTAGCAATCACCTTTGATGGGTGCAAATTCGCAATGCTTGAACGTATAGTTTGCCTGCTGGTGGCCACCAGGATGGTGAGCAGTGACAGTGACCACTGCAAGAATCAGTGAGAGGTGAGAGCTGATTCTAGGGCTTGCTAGAGATTGAAGGGATCGATACAGGGATCTCTCTCCCAGCTTTCTAACCCTGCTCTGGTCCATCCGGTCTGTCTGTGAAGCTGGGATTTGTTGTCAGGACCGAACAGCAGTACAAATGCTAGGATCTTCTTTCCTGCACCCTCCTGGGAGTGATGCAGGCCTCCCTTTGGTGTCCCTGCTCCAAGATGCACTGGTCCCCGCAGCAGCCTGGGCTGCTGGCAGTGGGAGGAGTGCAGCTAGGACATGTGGGGGTGTGCGAGGCAGCACAGCCATGCCAGAGCAGCTCCGTAGGTGCAGAGCTCCTACCACTATCTCATAGTTTTCCTATCGTTCAGCATTGTAGAAATTTAGATCGTGTCTTGGGGGTCAGAAAATTGGGTGCTACTCTATCTTCTGTCAGCAGCGCTAATATGAACAGGACACAGGAATAAAGCCGGTCATGCAAAAAATACCTTCTGTTTTTATCCACCAACATTGTCAATGTTGTTCCTCATGGAGCTAATCAGTGGCAATGTCCCAGTGATAGCATGTATCCTGCATGATGCTATTGCAGATCAAGCCTAATTCCCCCCCTCCTGCTTTGAAGCTGGCCAGAAAAAGGTTGCATGTTCTAAGGCCCAATTCCTTGATCAGAAAGGATAGCTCTGCACCACAGTCATTTTTCTGGTCTTTAAAGAAATAATAATTTAGGAAGGCGTTCAAACAACATGGTATAATGATTTAGTTATGGACGGCATAAAGGAGAGTCAGGATTAGCGAGATGTGGTTTATGGTGAAGATTTATTCTCTTGGTAAGAGGTAGTTTGCGGCAAACTTTATGACATGTACTTATGTTTGTAACTGATAGCCTTATCATAAGAAACAACTTGTTTTTCTTTGGGAAATATGGGTCAGAGTTGAAAGAAATCACAAGTGGCTTGAAGTTCATTTTGAAATCGTGCATGCTAATTGGAGACAGATTTTAAAGTAGTGTTGTAAGATTACATTTCAAGTTTTCTGTACTTTTTGGAGAAAAAAGCTGTCCTGCCTGCATATACAAATAAGCACAGAAAGGGAAACTGTATAAAAAGAATATGTTCTCTTTCTGTGTTGTGTTCGTAGTGGTTTTTATGCCGCTGCTGCAATGCCTTTGGAGTCATTTGAAACGTATTTTCGACAAGAGTTGTGAGATCTCGTAAAGTAGTCTGAATTCTTAGAGCTATTTTCCTTTACTCTTTTTCCCCTTCCCTACAACTTACCTCACTATGTCCAAAGAAGAATCATTTAAATGCAGCATCTGTTGCTCACTTTACCTCTCTGCCGAGTTATGTTCTGTGCTCACACCTCTGTAACACGCGTTTGCTCATTTTCTTTTCTAAATAGTGAACAGCCTTTTCAGCAGTTTCTATATTTTAAAGATCCTACTGCATGCTATTACAGAATTATGAAAAGCTGCCTTTGTGGCAGTACTTGCATAAATTCCCTTTTCCCTTGACATAGGCCTGGGCCCTCGGGAATCCAGTGGCAGCAGAGGCGAGCTCTGGGTCGGTCACGAGCCCGTGCACCTCGCTCCGTCTGGAGCGGGAGCCAGAAGCCAAAATGGTGACAAAGTCACATTTTAATTCCTGTGCTGATATTTGGGTGGCACAACAGGAAAACCTCCAGCACGGGACTAATGCTGTTATGGAGCCAGCAACTTGTTGGCAGCTCTGCTGCTGATTTTTCTGTTTCTGGTGCCAAAAGTTATTACTTCTTTTCAGTGGAAGATATTAATGGAACAAGCTTGGGGCCAGGCTCTAAGAAGAAGCATCCAACATGATAAATTTGGAGCACCCTTCCCCATCACTAGTGCCTGGTGCAGAGGATTGCTTTCACTGTGCCGTTCAGAGACTTCAGCTTGTTTCTGTGCTGGGAAGTACTGAAGACTTTTAGCAGTGGGAACTGCTAATGTTTAATGGCCTGTTTGTACTCAGCCACAGTGGGCTTAGGGGTTATATGTAGCATCTTTGAGGGTCATGACGTGTAATTCTGATACTGGCTTGTTTTTCTTAACAATTTTTTCTGCAGTGCCACTATGCTGTGTCAGCTCAATCAATGTGAGTTGCTAACCATTTTATAGGTAGTTAAAGCCTACGTGGTCCTAAAAGCTCTTTCTGGATGTTGGAGAAGCCTGTCTGCTAATGCTCACATGCATTATTTATTAGAGATTTGAAACACGCAGTTCTGCAGAATGCTGCTAATACTGTATGTGTAGTCTTGTTTGGGCTGATCTCTTTTAAAGACAAAATAAAGCTCCACTGGAGATCTAGCTAAATAAAGTCTCTGTTTCACTTCTATCCTGACTAAGACTACCACCTGGATGCATCTGTGCTACAAAGGCAGCAGCTGGCACTAGCAGACACTGTCGATATGAAGATGCGCTGATGGCTTTGATGGTTTCATGCGTTGGTAGCATTAGTCTGGAAGCAGTGAGACAAAAGTGTGGCCGAGCTTTTGCCTGCCTATCTCTCAAGATAATTCAAATGCTACACAAGAGCACAGCGTTCTTTATCTGATTGCACAACTTGCACAAACGTCTCCTTTTCTCATCTGGTGGTGGCTTGTGACAGCTTTTGTCATCGTGAAAGTAACTACTGCAACATGCCCTGAGTCTCAGAGCAGGGAGCCTCTGCTACTTTCGGCGTGTCCAGGATAACACACTTGCTTATTGGCTGTGCAGTTGGGACCCTGCTAGCTTACCCTCGGTGAGGGTGCAAGAGTATTACTTGCTTTTGAAACCTTTTCAAAGCTGGGTCTGCTTATATCAAGGGTCTCGATGGATCTTAATTTGACTGAAACTCTGTTATCAACATGTTAAAGACCCAGCCGATTGCTCTTTTGCTCTATTGGATATTAAGGTTTATGACTTCATTCACTTGAAATTTCTCTGTCAGTCTTCACTGGTTTGAGAAATACTATAAAAGTTTTATTTTGGAGACTCATTACAAAATAAATGCTGCTAGCTTCTCATCGGCACTGGGACCTCCTCAGGGCGGATCTGTTTTCATTTTAGGAGTGAGGCCTTTTACTATGGAGTCAGTCTAACAACTTTTATTACAATTTCAGTCACATGGAGGTTGGCCAGAGTAGGAGCAAGGGGAATGTCATCGGATATTTTTAAAGAATGCTGTCTGAGTAGGAAAAGGAGACATTAATTTTTGGGGCATGGATATTTAGATGCTTTAAATTGATGGGGGGCAATGACAACTTACCTGCTTATTCTAGAGCTCAGTTTGTGCATGTAGCCAGGTCATGCTGCACCAGATTTTCAATGTATTACTTGGTTCATGCTGAAGTTGCTTTGAAGTGAGGAGGCCTAGCATATATATGAGCCCTCTTTGTCAGAAGCTAAGAATCCACAGTTCATATATGCTTGAAAATGTATGCCTCTTTATGTTTGTTTCTCTATATTTGCCTGTACACTTAGCATGAGAAAGAACTGCTTTGGAAGTGAATTAGAAAAGAATTTGAAAGGTTATTTAACAGATTTTGATATTCTCCAAATTAACTTCTAAACTTTTTGAGTGTATAAATTACACAGTAAAATATTAATTTAGGTGGTGCACAGATCCCTATTGAAACATTCCTTCAATAAATTAACTAAGTAAGTTGAAGTCTTTGACATTTCTATGGTTAGTGGTTAAAGGTTGTTAAAGACACAGTAGAACATGTCCTGCCATTTGAGATTGACAGGTATTAAATCATTCATTTGCAGTTAAGCTAGATGTTTTGGGTTTGTATTGTGGTTTTTCACAAATGTTTCTTCCAAAGTCTATGCCTGACATGCTGAGCAGGCGCAGTCCTCCAACTAGTGGTTCTAAAGCGACTTCTGAGTCCATCTCTAAAACGTGCATCGGTTTTCAGCCGAATTGCAATGTTTTAAGAGGGGAAGGGAAGAAAAAGAGGAAGAAAAATCAGAAATGAACGTGGCTGAAAGCTGAAGAGACGTGCTTCAAGCATATTCTTGCTCTTTGTTTATGACTTCTTTTCCTGCCACACCCTGAGCAAAGCCACCACCATACTCGGTGCTGAATCAGATAGTGCAAGAACAAGCCCCTACTACAATGCTTTCTGTTCAGTACCTGTACTTGTTTGTCTGCTGCTCAGGATGTTACTAAACGCTCTTC